AAAAATTAAATTTTAATAAAGTAAAGAAAAAAAACATTTAGGTATTCATCAATATTTTATTACAAAGTTATAAAAAAAAAAAAATTACATTTATTAATCAATAATATTTTCAAAAATTAAAAAAAAGAAATACTATATACATAATCTTTTTTAAATGAACCATTTAAATTGATCATCACAATAATGACATTTGAATTGCGATGGAAAATTGAAAATTAAATAGTACATGCTATTCTGATTAATACATATTTGATCTTTAATATATTTTATTGTAAAGCTATCTTGATCATACGCCATATCACGTATGCAATCGTCAGTTGTGCATATGGAGTACATAATTTCATTATTTACATTATGTGATAATATAGAAAAAAAATTGAACTTCAAATAATTTTTTTCCCCAAACAATAAATTGTATACGCCTGAACGGATTTCAGATTTATAAATTTGACAGTCACTTCTAATCATATCAAGCGTCACGGGAGTTTTTAATGCATCTTCATATTTAATGCCTTTCTCAGACACCGTAAAATTTCTGGATTCGTACAAAATGTCTGCCAATATATTAAATTGGCAAACATTTTGCGCTTTCAAGTACTTTACGATGTCTTCGACATCATTTAGGCTTAATGGAAGATGCATTGTATAAAATTTTTACGACTAAAATTAATAAAAAGAAATATGTACACTTCGAACTGAATAGTAGAGTTTAGTAACAAAAATTTTAATAACTTACTGTGATTTTTATTCTTTAACAAAAAGAGCAATTTAAACCTCGATGAAAAATTTATTTTCAATATTTGCAAATGAACACAGTGAAAATATATTCCTAAAGATTAAAAATTATTTTTACAAACATTGCTTCAGAAAAAAAATAATATAAATATGTAAAATATAGCATACTTTAACTCGATTTTTGAATTATTTCTCCCCAATTTGAAATGTAACTCAAGGAATATACTGAAATAATTTTACTGAAAATTAAAAAAATATTATTGTCAAAGTTATTTTACTTTGAAAAAAGTAACTATATATTACTTACGTTATTAATGATTTTCGATCTTCTGTATTAAAAAATAAGACTGATGAACATAAAGAAACTAGCAGAACACATGAAAACGAATTATTAAACGTATATATGCTGTTTCTCCACTTATATAGCAAAATTGATTTTTTTTTTACACGTATGAAGGTGATAATCGGTAGGAGAAAATCCCTTTAGTTTGTTTATATATATATAAGCTATATATATATAGCTAAATATTTTATTGACAAGTAATCATAAAATATAGAAATTAATATATAAAATATCATCAAATATATAAATTAATACATTCAAATAATATACAATTCACTTTGATATTTTATAAGACGTTTAGGATTTTACACATTGTGTTTTATTATTAAGATAAGATTAAAAAGAGCTGACAAGTATAGTTTATGAATTTCTTAAAGAAAAACAATCATGTTATTCTTATGAATATAAGTTATAAATAAAAATATTAATAATCTTAAATGAACGATCATTATTGTGGACACAAACAGAGCAGTCCACTGTTATTTCATATTATGATAGTGACGTCACATTTCTGCACCCAGAGAAAAACCTCGATCTATATAATAAATTCATTGTTCAATTTGATAAATACAATATCATTACTATTGAATCTATGATATATTTATTAATATGATAATTTTTTTTCTTGTCTTGAACAATAATTATTTATAGAATAGTTATTTTGTTCGTATTAATAAAACATTATCATAAACCCTTGATAAAATTTCTCTATCAAAAGTGATTGAGGTTTTTCTTTGGGTGTGTATTTGAGCTAACCGTCAATGTTACCTAAGTTAATAACTTTTCTAGTTTTCTAAATATTGTTTTCCATAATCACCTGACTACCTCCTTTACTTGAAATATTTTTCTGAAATTCGTGTGTATATTAATTACTATTCGGTTACTGACAAGCAATTTTTTGATACTATACATATATTTAAGGAACAACACGAGTGTGCACTTTACCTATCCGATATAAACAATTCACACGCCCTCAATGACTTTATCACGTTTGAAATAATATCCTCTACATTATGTTCCCTGAATGATAATATACATTATACTTTATATAAGTACATCATAGTTGCAACTTATTAGTACCAGAATTAATATGCGTTTAGATAAAATCTCAAGGCAAAACGAAAAATTAAAAAATTCGACAGTTGATATTAGATTAGATTTTGAATCCGATGAAAATTTTCCGACCAACTCTACAGCATATTGTTTGATTGTATACGATATAATGTTTGAATACATCCCTATGACAAACGAAGTTCATAAAATATTATAATTTGTTTTTTTCTAAAAATAATGTAAAATTTTATATTTATAAAATACTAATGATTACTCGAATGTATATTTTACTATTAAAAAGGAACGTGTTATTTATTTTAGTACCTTAACCTTATTATATTTTATTTGTGTACTACAAAATTATCTTAAAATATTTCTTTGATAAGATATATCGATGATTAAACAACATTAAGGAATAAAGACGTATTTAAGTTTTTTGAAAGAATGACACGTACTACAGTCTCTCCAGTGATTTTATTCTATATTAAAATTTATAAATACTAATGACTAATTGTTCAAGGTTAACAAAAATTACAAACGAGTTTTTGCAACATTCGTTTTTCTCAAAGTATTCGAAGTGGCTATACATCTTTCTTTACCAGTACGAAAGTATATTAGTAGCTATATCTAAAAGAAATACACATTGTCAACGGTTGTATTAAACATTCTATTCGACTAGTATGAATAACATATTTGTATAACAAACGACCTAGTAGTAATGCTATGAAATATAGCGCCTACGCATTATGCACGTGTTCGATGGTTTTTATCAAACACAACGATTGTCGGAATGTCTGGAATGTATAGTGGAACCACATGGAAGGGGTACTCAGCATTTACAAAATATCGACTTAAACTTAAACGACAGCGTCGGGGATGAATTAACAAAGCTGTATATAGGGTTGTGACATATTAAACGTGCGGACTCGACGCGTATTATACTCACGTTGAACCGTTAGCGTGTACCTACACTGGAAAATGAATTTTTTTTTTTTTTGATAGACCCGACATTGAGTAGATCCTCTGCACCTATTATTTACCAAACAAATTATTACGTAGATACTGTATATATACAGTATGACGTATATACAGACTTAGAAAATTATTTAATTTTATTAAATAATTAGTTAATATACATTAATTAATAATATTATGGTCGGCTAGGGCTGGGTTCCAGCGTACACAGTACTACGCCTGACTCAGGGTTCACGCACCGTACACAACGTCATTTTGACGAAGTACGGGAGCACACACCGCTGTAATATACACACAGCAGGGGACACATACGTCACACTTAGGGCACCACACAGTAGGGATTCCGGTAACTACACCACTTGTGTTTGTGACGTAGACACTGTCATATGGTCGACTAGGGCTGGGTTCCAGCGTACACAGTATGCGACGTCAACACTTTCACTGGGGCCCCGGCGGCATGACAATCGTCACCCGAAGGGGACTCCCATAGGTAACGTCATTTTGACATCATCACTAATGGCACCCTCACGCTAACTTGGCTTACACCGTCGTATACGACGTCATTTTGACGTCATCGCCACTGGTTTGCCTTGGGTTGTCACACAATCAGTGTGACGTCACCAGCGCGGAGTGCATCTCAGCTGTGCANGTAATATACTTAAATTTGAAAAAAAAAATTGACCTTTAGACTTGTCTTCACGGTGAAAATCGCTACCGAATGCTATTTTTGTATGAAAATTCTCGATTTTATTATTTACATTTTTAACATTATAATGCTATAACTTATTGAAAAGTGTATGGATCAACACATTTTTTTTTTATGGGAAATAAAATTTATTAATTATCCCTCTTTCATTCGACATAATTTATCTTAATCAGGAGATTAATAAGGAACTAGCAGATCATGTAATTTTGGAATAATCCACCAATTTTTTATAATTAAACACTATCTAAAGATTTGCATCGAAGCGTTTTTTTTTATATTGATTTTAATTACTGTCAGATATCATTATACTTGATCCAACTATACCATTGCATCACTGTGCCGCGACCCCCCTGTGCTGGGTTTTTGTAAGTTTTAGTTTTAAGGAATTTATATGTAAAATTGTAAATACTAGAAAGTAAGATTATACTGCCAAATACCTTAATTGTAGGAAGTATTATAGTATTAACATTTAATGTTTATTTAATGAATAGCTTAAATATAAAAGGGGATTTGATCATCTTCTCGGTGGTCAGTGTTCAATCAGTGAATGTTACATTATATTTAGTTATTATTTTGACTCTTCCTGACAACACTTATCCACGTGATCGAACTTAAAATTAGAACACTCAGTTTATCACAATTAAAGTAATTTTTTTTTTAATAAAATGTAATTTTCAAAAGAAAATGGAATCAAATATTTTTGTACACTTTATTATAACGTAGTATTTTTCAGGCGTTGGATTTTTTAGAAATAGTTTATACAAATAATATTTATTTTATACATTTAATGGTGAAGTTCGTATTTTAACACCAACAAAATAGAACAGAGTAGAATTTTATTATTTTACTCTGTCGTGAACCTATAATTGTTTTGTACATTTTAGTTTTAAGGAATTTATATATAACATTGTAATTACAAGTAAGTAAGATTGTAAAATCCTTTATACAAACCTTTTTCTTTACTTAATATTTACAGAGTGAAAGAAAGAAGGTGGGGAAACGAGTGTAGTTCGTCCGAGTCACATACTCGGATTAGTTTTTAGGTGCCGGCTTCTCGAATAGAGCGCAGCATATAACTCGATTGAACCGTAACATAATGACCAAACTATAATCAAATTGTTCGTCAGCTTAGGGCATACGGTCGGCTAGAATAGTGATATACCATGATTGACGCTAAAAGATCGCACGGAGGCGTTCTTCGCATTTCTTTCATAAAAAGTTGTAGGTGTATAATTTTTTTAATATTTTTTTTTCTTTGCTCCCTTTAATTTGTATATGATGTTTTTTGACCATTTGGTTTTTTGCCTCGTGTTAACTTAATTTTTTTTTGTTTATTTAATATAGTCCCGTCAATTTAACTTAACCATCGTTTTATTTTTCTTGCCTGTTCCATCTTCAATGAACTCTCGTATTATGTATTTTTTTCCCCTTTAAAAAATCAACTTTCCCTAGTTATAAGGTACGGGCAATGTCCTTGTTTAAGGTCATCCTAAGAAATTATGGTTATATGACAACTGTCACGAAGATTTGACGTACATCGACTGTTAACGACTCAACGATCATTTGATACAACATTATGTGTTTGAATACATTTTACATTTGCATTTTCCGTTGTGGCCATGAAATTAAACATAAATATATTTGTAACCTTTCAATATATGATATGTTTTTAAAAAATGTTATTATTTATGATACATTTGCCTAAATTATGTATTTTATTTTAGTTTCAATAATTAGTAAATTTTATCTTTTTTATGAAATTTATCTGATATATGACAAATTAGTTGACATATTTAAAGGTAATTTTGGTGCAATACTATCAAAATATAATACTATATAAATTCATTTGCTATTATATAGATGTCTTTGACCTAACTAACAACGATTATAAGTTTTCACACAATTATCATACCCACAGCATTGCAAGTTAGGTCTAGGACACTTTGTTTATTGTGCTTATACCATTTATTGGACACATAACTTCTTTTTAACTTCAAACATTTGGATTTTAGTAATTTTGTAGTTAAATTTAGTTACGATGTTGAACTAATAGCAAAAAATTGGATGTTTGAAGATAAAACTAAAGCGTTTTATCCAGCTTACTTAGAATTCAACATAAAACAGTATAATAAATTGAACATATAATTTAAATCTCCATTAGAGGATTGGAAATCGTATCCTTTTATGAAAATTTGGAGTTCTTCTGGTAACAATTATTATGTCTTAATTACTCATTTTGCATCAGTGTTTTTGAGTATTTATGTTTATTTATTAATGTACTACATTTAAGAGTGAGTCCAGAGAGCAAAAATTTTGCCCCTGTAAGTATTTATCTATGTATAATTCACTACATAGACAGAATTAGAATTAAAAACTCAAGTGGAAAAGACTTATTCTAATA